TTTTGAATGAAATCAAATCGTTGATTTGTGGATGTGTCATAAAAATTATAAGCATCAATTATATTTTCATTTGAAATGTTTGGGTTAACCGATGGTTCAATACTACCATTATAATAGTATCCAAGATTTATATTAACTCCAGAATCAATAACTTCAGGTGATAGACACACATCGTCATTGTCATTATTACCATTATCATCATCACCGTTATCACCATCACCATCACCATCACCATCACCATCACCATCACCACCACCATCACCACCATTACCATTACCATCATCACCATCACCACCATCATCAGTATCATTATCATTATGGATTGGAGGAACTTGTTCAGGGTCTACTTTAGTATTATCCTGGTCCAATTGGCTAGGCATAATTTCGTTGATAGAAAATGACATTTTTTTAATCAAAATTAATATCAAAAAATTCAAACGTCCGCGCTATATATATTAAAAAATTGATTATTAAATTTAGTTAAGCTTTATTTTCCATTATGATCACCGTTTTGTTTATACATATAAAAGAATCAATAATAGAAAGAATTCAGTATCTACTCAAAATTCGCATTGTATCAAAAGAAGGTGTTTGACAAGCAAAAAGGTAAATAAATAAGCAAAATATTATCCTTTATGGGTTATTTCGAAAAAAAAACAGGATTATAAAGTTTATAATTCATTAATTTTGATTTTTTTTTGTTTTATTCAGTTGAGTAAACCAAACAATATAATGCATAACTTAACCATAAAAAGGATGGTTTCTTAAAAACTGATCGTCGATTAGAACAATCATTATTAATATATTAGTAATGTCATTGTTGTTATTATTAAAATTGAATTTATTATGTTTCCGATCCACGTTTAGCATCTTTGAGAAGTTTTTTCTCAAAGTGTTTCCACATCTTTGGTGTGGTTGCTTTTTATTTTTGTAGTTGGAAGAAAATGTTTATTTAAAATTACTCATTAACAGTAATGTTGGCATTTTTCAATTCAATAAAGAAGAAATTATTATTTATTTAATCATTCATTTTATTAAATCAGCGGCAAAAACTGAAACACTAATCAAAATTGGTTAGTACTAGTACGACCAATTTTTGTACTCTAGTCGCCATTATTATTATTATTATTATTATTGTTTGTCAAAAATCAAAACTTGTACTATACCTGTAATAGTTTTTATTGTTTCCCCCGATTATGACAATAAAGAATGGAATATATGTAAAAAAGTGTTCATTATCCCAATATTGTGACAATTCCTTCGTCATTTCATCTTTTGTAGGCATTTTTTCTTTTTGTAACAAACAATTTAGGGTTCTCTTCTCTTCTGTAGTTGCTGTTAGTCTGGGAATTTTGATTAGACTAATTTCTAGTATTCAACGTCAATTGATTTAAATCGGCTAGTTGGTTTTCTTTTAGTAAATCTTCAACTTTTATCTTCAAGTTAATAGCTTCTTGTTATAAATAAATTTCTTTTATTCTTACCAACCCTTTTTCGTGAATGTCACAGTGTTGAAGATTTTGTTTCAATCGTGGGTTTTTTTTCTAACGGAACAAGAAATGTGCAACAGAGGTAGTGAATTATTTTTTCAAAAAAACGGTGAAAAAGCTGCCAAACCAAATCCTTGAAATCCATAATTTCCACAACGTTTTCGATTTCAATATTGTAACCCATTTTGTAATACAAGTGTCAAACTTTTAAACAGATCCTTTCGTCTAAAGGACCGGATATTTATTCAAATTTATTTATTATTGAAACTTTTGGTGCAGGAACATGTCTCAGGGTTCCAAGGTTAAAATCAAGTTAAGAACACACTTTTATGTAAGTTTGTGCAGAGATCCTTTTGAACTTAAAAGCATACCCACAGTTAGATAATAATTTTTTGAGATATTTCTCTTAAAATAACATCATTTTTGTGTTATATCTGGTTAGTGTTTGTACTTGTGTTATATCAAAATCAAATGACAATTGCTTAATTTTTGATAATTTCATTATGACCATATTGCTTATGAGCGATGGATTTTTTTTTCAAAGATGATAAAAAATATCTTTTTAGATTTTATGTTTTTGGTAGTCATCTTTTGTCTATATAGGAGTTGAATTATAATTGTTCATTCAACCTTAATTAGTGATACGTGATAGAAGTAGATAAAAATCTATATGTCGATTTGGGGCAAAAATGTGTAAAAAATCGACGAATTGAAATACTTCTCTCCATAATAACATAATATTCCGCAAACAAAAAATGATGTGATTTTAGATACATTAGAACTATAAAATTGCTTCATATAAAAAAAAATTTTTTTATTTAATAAAAAACCAAATTTTACTATCGGGTATCTCTGGATTTTTGAAGTAAAAAAATTTTTTTTTGTGTAATTTGTACCGTTTAACCAATCAATTTTATTATATAGTAAATATTAACCCCGTTTTTTATTATTAAAAAATGTGCCAATCATTTACTTTTATCACGAATTAATAAATGTAATCGAGGGTTTGTGTTACATTTAAGCTTGCCAATAATAATTTATCTGCAGAGAAATTCGTGCAGCAAAGTATAGATAAACTACTTTTGATTTTTAACAATAAATCGTTTATTTTCCAGATTTTGATTTTGAAATAGCATACGAATATTGAACATTGGGCAAATAAAAAGAAAGAAACATTTGTTATTAATTATAAATTTTTGTTAAAAAGAATATTTATTGTTTTATTAATAAAATAATTTTTTTAGTAATCAAGATGCTTTAGAAAGAAAATCATCTGGCCGCGCATTAATGTGCAAGTGGATTTTAATCGAGTTTACTTGTTCAACGGCAAATTGGCGCTTTTTTACTTTACAAACTATTGCTATATATTTCATATTTCAAAGCCACAAATCAGTGTTTAATTTTCATCGCGTAACTAGTATAAATTAGAAACAAAACTTGATCAAGTTATTTTACTTGTTACGGTTAATTTTAAATTTCGGGTTTAGCTATAATTATCTGTTAGCGTCCTGAAAACGTAACATAAATGTTTAAATAAAAAAAAAACAATGATAATGGTATTTATGAAAATAGACAAATGAAGGAGTCTCGTAATATTATACAAGCTTATGTAAAATTTTCCTTTAGTATTAAAATCATTTATCTATTTACGCAAAACAACCAATCATTCAATTTCATTCAAACATGTTCCAACATTCTGAGATTATACAAAGAATAAATATTTAATACAAAGAGTAGTTAGTGATGCATTTTTTATAATAAATGTTTAAATAAAGACAATGATAACGATATTTGTAAAAGTAGATGGATAAGCGAAGGCTGTAATTTAATTAATATTAGTTTGGCTAGTTTTTATTTCTATGCAAGCTTCGTAATATAACAAAAAAAAAAAATAACGCCAAAGATAATTTAGGGATGAAATCCTTTTATCAAAACATTACTAATTTAATTCTTTCATTCATATTACAATTCTGATTTGTATAAGAATACATGAATATGTTAGATAGTTTGCATAATGAAAGCTAAATTTGTAAAACAAGAAGATAAAAATCTTATGATTATAACTATAATTAATATGTTCATTAATGATAATAAGTATCTTCATATGTATGAAATCCATCTCCCATCAACAATAATAATTAGTATTGTTTGCACGGATTGTTTATGATTTTGTAGGAGAAAGTGTCTGTGTTCTCTCTGCATTGCATATATAGAACAAATATTCTTTTTGTATTTTTAATTAATAATTATACGGGTTAAAAAAACTGGTAATGATGGTAAACAGAAAAAAAAAATCTTTTCTTTCTCCCGCTTGAAACTCTTTCTATTTATTTATTTAAAAAATTATTGTGGGTAACTAACTAATGCATAACAATATCAATCAATCAATCAATCAATCAATCAATATTAATATCATATGTTCGTGTTTAGTAGGGCTGATAATTAGATGAGTTGAGAAGATGTAAAATGTCATAAGATTTTGTAGCAGCATAAACGTATTACATGACTCTATAATGTATACTGTTACACACGCGTTGAACGAACAAATCCTTATTATCGTTAGTATAAAATATATATCGCCAACCGAAGGTGGGACACAAAGTTATAATAAATATTTCACTCATTTCTTTTCTTAATTTACCTGGGTGGGGGGACGACTCGATCTTATAAATTTAAGAATTCATAAAGAAATAAAGAGTGCACTTTCAGAAATAATATTGTTTGCAAAAATATTTCTTTCTCTTTTCTTTTATTATTAATATCCGTCTCTCCAGTTTTCCATTTAGCGATGTTTGTATAACATCTATTAAATCCGTCGGTGAAATCTACAGCCACCACCAGCAAATTTCGCCGTTATAAATCAGGAACACGATTATATAAATATTCTTTAAAAAATAAATTACAGCATAATTTAACCTCTTTGATAACATACATAAATGATCAAACAATAAACATTCTAATTTGTTAACAGTTATTTGCAACGTAACCCGATTCATTTGTGTAGTATTAATAGATTTGTTACTATTATGACTTCTTTTTTTTTTCACGACGCTTTTTATTCTTTAATCAGAATCCTAAATATAGCATTTTCTTTTTATCGGAGTTTGCATCTGCAATTCCTAATATTAATAATGAATTTATAATAATGGATATAATAATACATTTATTGTTGTACAAGAAAATTGACCGAAATTCCGGTATGGTAAATCATTATTACAAGACAAGTTAGCTAGTGCTCTATAATAATAACTAATTTTTTGAAAAGAAAGTGTGTGTATATATATTCCCATTTTCTAAAATAGAAAAATAAAAAAAGTTTACAATGTATTTAAATCAAAATGCTACACATATAATATATATAATATGAAAAATCTTTCATTAAATTTATTGTTGCATTTATTTTAATAAGACGACCAAATTCACTACATAGTAACCATATAATTTTCCTTTGATTTTACTAACGACATTCTTAAAAATATCTTTTATTTTATAAAAACTTCTTTACCTTGTCTACCAAATTGTAACAGGGTAAGGAAGTCCATCAATATGTACTGTCAGAATAAAACTTATAGGAATAGTCAAAAAAAAAACGATCCCTATTACAGTCAAACCACATTGCGGTGAATCTCGTTACAGTTGCTCGTTACAATGGAAAAAAATAAAAACTTACATATGGAACCGAGGGTCCACTACAACGAGAGAGAGCTGACCGTCTACTCTTTTCTGGTCTTTAATTTAATACTTTTTACTTTTAAATTAGAATTAATTAGGTATTTATAAAATATCAATGGTTAAGAATATTATCAATACATTTATCGGTATTTTGTTTTTAATATTTTTTTTTTTTTACATTTATTAATTATTAAGATACACATTTATAATATGTCGAACAATATATATTATTAATCACAAACTTACAACAACTTAATTGACAGTAAAACCAAATACAAAATAAAACTTTATATAGTGACGACGAAGTCGCCTGTAAATCGAAGTCACTAAATAACAGCATTACAATAATAAAAAGAAATACAAATAGAAGAAATATAAATCAAGAAGATTGATAGAAAGATTGTAATGTACAATAATAATCATGGTTATAAGCATCGATTTGATCTTCTCCACATTGAAATTGACTTGGTGTGATATTATTGGTTAATGATGCTTCCGTATTAACACCCTCAATAAACCATTCAGGGTTAAAACCAGGACAATTATTATAAGCTTCATGATCCTCAGTTTCTATGATATCAGTATTATTGTCATCAATATGTAGGTGGTTGGATTCTCCCAGATACAATTGTTCAGGGTCTGGTTCTTGAGTTTGAGCATTCTGTGTATTATCTTGGATCAATGTATTACCAAAAGAAAGAAAATGGGAAAAGGAAGTTGATGATAAAAATGATGATAATGCAGGAGAAGACGATGAAGAAAATGGTGATAATATTTGTGTTAATAATATAGGAAGAGATGCAAATATGTTACTTGGAACATCGACTATCTTCAATTTCAAATATTTTTGATCGTTATCGAGATAAATTATTTTTCGGTGTTTTTTATTATATAGTATTATTTTTGGTTTTAGTTTTTTTCTTTTTTGCCCTTCTTGTTTGGAACCTTTTGAAATTTCTGAAATTATTTTTCTCTTTAAATTTTTTCTTGCATAATATCTACGAGCCCGAATGGATTTATTTTTCCGCCTTGATGTGACTCTTTTTACTTTTTTTGTAGTTGAAAAAGAATTCGAGAGAGAAGACTTTGAAAAATAAAATTTTCCGAGAACCAAAAAAAAAGGTTCTGAAATCTCTTGTTTTGTCATTTTTTTTATGAATTAGATTATGGATTAATAAATTAACAATATTAATTCAATTATCTACTATGTGTTTTTATTTTTTTTTTGATAAAAGATATTAAAATTTTTTAAAGAAATTTTTTTTTAAAAATCAAATGTAACTTGGACGAGGAGGTCTTTAAATAAAAATTGTAAGTACATCCAGTGATTTTAAATTACAAGGCTATTCATTCAAATCAAATATAGAAACTAAGATATGTCGTTAACAATGCTAAAAAAAAATTTTTTTTGATCTACACATATATACAGTATATATTACATTATTATCTTGGTTGTTATAAATAATTTGATTTTCCCACAGGAAAATTTATAAAAGAATCTAATTTGATATTTCACATGTAAATTCATACTGCGTTCAATGGTTGGAAACTATTAAAGATTACATGAAACATCTTATAACATGTAGGTTCTAGGCAATTATTTCCATAATAACCCTTTTTTTTTTTTTTAATTGATAGCATTTATAAACTGATTTGTAATTATAATTAATTTTAATGATTTTATCATGTATGTTTTTGTGTTAATTAATATTATAAAAGTTTTCGTTGAAAATTCTTCTATCAAAAAAAAAAAAAAAAAGGAACCGAAAGAATTGAAGTTTAAGACCTAGGATTCATTTGCGTTGGGTTAAATTAAAATTTTGATTTATTTTTATCATTCTCATTTGATTGGCTGAAAATACGTCCAATTAAATTTAATTAAATGTTATATATATCCAAAATATTTTCATAACGGTTCGTATTCCTAAGGAAACAAAAAACAAAAAAGAGCTTCCAAAGTTTCGCTTGTAGTAGAAAACGTAGAAAATTATTTAGAAAATTTGGCACAATGTCCGATTAGGAATACAGGTCTCATAGGCATTATGTTAATTTCCAAAACTATAGAGTTTCGTAAACGTGCGAAAGTCAAAAGGTTTTACCACAAGTCGAAACTAATTTTGGCTTTTGACTTTTGACTTTTGACTTTTGATTTAGTTTTGACATATAACTTTTAATTTTAGTTTTGACTTCTGCATCTTCAAATAGTTTTGGTTGGCGACCAACACTAATGGGTGCATACCTGAGACTGTGTTAAATGGATTGGATTTTGTATTTTCACATCTGTTGATAATTTCTTTTTTTGGAAAGTGAACCGTAGTTTTAATAATAATTTAGCCGAGTCTCGTTATAACGAAACAATGAGCTCGGTATGCCGGGGTAGTTATCGAACATCACGTGATATTTTTATTAATAACAAATTCTAAAAAATAAATATAATACATATGTAAACTCGATAAGCCGGTCATGTGGGGGGTGAGCTCATATGACCGACTTATCGAGTTTACATATGTACAGTGTTATCATTAATTGGTAAAATAAGAAGTAATTTTTCCTTGGTTTAGATTTTAGAGTTATATAAATTAATTTTTCTTTTTAATGTCCGGAAAACTTATTAAAGGTGAGGGACATAATTTTTTGATATGAATTTGGATCAATATCAAAGTCATTCGTTGGATATCGAATTCTTTAGCTAAACCAATATTTTTTTGTTGCGTTGTTAAATAAATTTTTGTACAGTAGTAATGTAGACACGTTTTTTGGTTCACATTGGAATCAGAAAAATTGTTTATATAATTCAAAACTAAAATCAATTCAATAATTTACTTGATCATAAAATTTTCTCATTCTAATATTAGAAAGTTCTGTCAATGATCTACTAAAGTTCGACTAGTAGAATATATGAAAATTCTCGTTATACGGAATAACAAGGCTTATAATAAAATTTGTTATAACAAAATTTATTGCTTATTGAAAAAAAAAGGACAAGACTTTTGTAACAAAGACTGTTATAATGATGTTTGTAATATAAAATGTTCGTGTAACCATATTAATATTAAAATTTTAGGTCAGTTTGAATTCTCCAAAGTCGGAGGTTGTTAGTATGTATTAGTATAGCATATATAAAATTCATCGACCTCTGTATGTATTATAAGCGGTTTTACATACGGATTTAAAAAGAAATTTCATCTAAATAAAGTAACCAAAAGTTGCCGGTTAACTATTATTAAATTTAAAACTTATTATTAATCAAAAAAAAAAAAAATTTAATCATGCAAAACATTATAATGATATAATTATTGGTAATATATTTTTTATTGACATCTTTAATTTAAACTTATTTTAAAATCAATATCATTAAATAAAATAAAAATGTAAGCAAACAAAATATTATTATTATTATAAATAAACGGATATATTTATAACTGGTAATTGATATAAAGAATTACGGGTATAACCTTGTAATTACATGCTTGCATGGATTATTAATATTAATATACCACAATGAGAAATAGTAAACATAATAAATATTTATTACGGTTTTACAAATTTTATTATTATTATTATTATTATTTTTTGCTTTCGGCATAACCGAGTATCTGCAGATCATTTGCGTCAGTGTTTTCGTGGGATAATAATTATTATTTATTATGTATGTAACAACAGATTTTTATTTATGTAATTTTTATAAAAGCAATATTGGAAAAGGTTTACCTAATAACTATGTGAATTAATCTCGTCATAATTTGTTTTAATGTTCAAGGGAAAATATCTCCAAAGTTTACTATGAAAAATCGGTATGTTTCTATTCCAGCAATGTTCTACCTAAGATTTACATATCATGATTTTTCGACGTTGTCATCGTTACTATTAAATTAAAAAGGTCATGTCTTTTCTATGAAAGCCTCCTAAATGACGACATTTAAAATAAAAGTTATGTCATATTAGCAACCATATGTTTGTTTAATTTTCATGTTTCGAATTTTAGTCAAATAAAGTTTCATAAAAATCATGATTGTTTAGTATCATGAATAATAAATTGATTTAATTGATTCAAATTATGTGATTTAAGGTTTATCTAACGAAGATTCTATAGCTGCAGGGTCGAGACCAAGGCCTCGAACATATGTATTTCGTGTAACCAAAATCGAAATCTTAAACGATCATAAATAAAATAAATGTCATATTGACCAAATATAGCAATTAGAATGGTTAAAATATTCTATGTTGTCTATAATAAACTTGACTCAATGTTATCTTCATACTGACCAATAATGCTCAATATATAAGACGCGGGATTTCCGATGATCTAAAAATAATAGAACGGTAATTAAATGAACCAGCATGTATATTAATTGCGAATATAAAAAATATAAAAATTTTTATATAAATAAGTTCTTAATTTTGTTGACCTTTGAAAAATTTTTTTAACAATCATAATAAATCCAACAACAACAACAACAACAACAACAACAACAATTTCATCGATTTATTTTTTGATCTATTTTTCGAATTAACTGATTTTACAAAAAACTACGGGACCCTCACGAGATCCCAATCAATTAATTGACTTTCTAGTAAAAAACAACAATATTAACGATATTATTATTAATAATATTATTAATATGGATAATAATACTATCGAGAATAATAATAATACCAGTGCTGATGAATTGACTACAACAGCAACACCTGTTCCGCAAACAAATAATACCATCGAAACTACAGTTCATTTCGAACCAACTCACAGAGACAATAATTTTGATATTGATGCTAGACTTTTTTATTGTGGTACAGCATCACCAATTGTTCTTAACGCTACAAGTCATGGAGAAAATCAAATTGATATTTTTTCTCGTCATTATTACGGTGACCAGCATGCTGATCAAAGATTCGACTTTTGAGACTTATTTATTAGAAGAAAAGTATGGATTGCATATATATATGTGTTTAATTTCATACTTAATTAAAACAATATATAATTAATTTTCATTTATACTATTATGATTATTATTATTATGATTGTGATGACTATCGTTATTACGATTATGATTATGGTTATTATTATTATTATTCAATAAATTATTTTTTAAAAAAGAAATTTCTTTCCCATTTTTTTTTCGTTTGAAAGAACTTTTTTATAAAATACATGTAAGTTAATAAGTTAATCCAAAAAATAAATCAATAATTTAATAAAGGTCAATAATGCTTATATTATTATCATTATCACGACCAATTTTTAAATCGCTATATATTAAATTTAAATAAAAATATATTTATCCTTATCCTTGTATTTTTTGATAACTTTTTGAATATATATTAATATATATTCGTAATTTAAAAAATTTTTATTTGATTTTAATTTTAATGACGCAGTATTGTCGTGATATTTTATTTGTTTAAAATTATTTTACACACAAAAGAAATTACATACAACTCCCTCATAAAAGTATCTGTTAGAGGCGACTTGACATCGTGCACAAACTCTTTGAGGCTTCTTTTTTTTTAGAAAAAAAAGATAATTAAGCTGAAGCACCTCATTTCATTTGACATTTAAGATATCGGTCAAAAAATAAATATTATTTTTGTTGTTGAACCTTTTATTAAAGTAATAAAAGGTTTTGTTTTTTTATTATTACGAATAACTGATTTCTTCCTCGACTCCACTTTCCTCCCCACAACTATTCTTGAGGCTGGAAGATTGTCTTTTTTAATACTTGTATTGTTTTTACGTTGTCTTTAAAAAAAAATTAATTTTTTGGCTGCGCCATTCTGGTTAGATTTTTCATGTATTTAATTTTATTTGTTACCAAGATTGCACCCTAATAATGGATTACATTGCATAATAAACAATAAATATTGACAATCAAAACTCAGCCCAACAAATTTTATTACTATTACATAACATTGGTCCACCAAATGAAATGCATTATTAATTATTGTAATTAAATAAATAAATAAATAAATAAAATCATTTATCAATTCACTCATCACACATCATTATTATTATTTATCGATCCTTTTCTAACGTTACACATGATTGAATTATTCTGAGAGAGAAACCCTATACATCATGCATCGTAAATTGTTTGGCATACCAAAATATGTAATACTGTATTTTTATTTATTATTATGAATAGCACTACATAATTTATCAGTTGGTAGAGATTCTATGCAATTTGCAATTTCGTACACTATTTTATTTTGTTCCATATTTTCTAATTTTCGTACTGAATTGTTTCATGTTACAGAGCAGATGTATGAAATACCGAACCTGTATATATCGTCTCGTAATATATGATCAAAAATCTGGTCTGATATCACTATTTTTACCCGAAGCCGAATAAATAAATAGCAAATAATAATAACAATAAAACAAAATGTTGAAATTATACTAGCATTATAATTATATAATAATAATATTATTATCCTTATTTAAAGAATAAAATCGAATAAACTTACATCAGACTTGATATTTATCTACCCAATAATCCATATTACTCAATATATAAATATGAAACCTACAAGCTTGTTTTTAATTGGTAGTGGTCGTGAAATAATAATATGCAATATAAATATTTATTATCACAGCCATATATTTAGGGAAGGGCCAGAAAATACATGATTAATTTTAAGAAGGATCTCATAATCAAAAGAATTCGCTTCGTTTCTGCTGTCATAAAATTATATTGCACTTGTACTTTAATAAAATAAACAATTAAACATTAACAAATAAGGCCTATACAAAGCCATTAAGGCTTCATATTTACACACCATTTTAGAAATATACCGAGCTTATGGGTATAAATTTTTTAGAAATGGGGGCATATTTAATCTATATCAGGAATTCCATTTTCATTGACAAAAAAAAACGGCAACTATTATATGAATAAAGAAATTTGATCTAATGTTATTATATTCATATTGCATAATAATTTTGTTTGTTCTTACATAATTTGTTTATCTTATAATTACATAATGAATAGTATTGCATTTTGTATATTTGTGCACGGACCTACTACTATATTTGTTCATTAAATTGATTACAAATAATTATAATGATTATTTCGAAAAATAATAAATAAAATTATTTACACAGATCGTCAAACAATTAAAAATCTTGTTTCAAATGAATTTGGTTTAGTGTATATTAGTACAATTATATAATAATAAAAATAAATAATAATAATAATTTAATAATAATTATGTTTTATATCACAGATTTAGATATAGTTTCCCTTTTTTATTAAATATATGTATGAGATTTAGATTTTTCTATATCAGTAACTGCTCACATAAAATCTATTTTATAAGCATTATATTTAGTCAATTATCATTAAGCGAGTGTTTTTATTGTTATTGAATCTTTTTTTAGACCTCTTCCCGTGGAATATATTACGATAAAAACTTGGGAATTAGTTGTTGGCCATATTTTAGATGCACACCTCCATCCATCCATCCACCCATCAATCAATTTCTTTATTTATGACGCAAATTCTAATTATTAGTTATGGGACAACTAATAATATTTAATATTAGAAAATACTGAAACATTCAATTAGGTCAAATTAATTAATTAAAAAACAACGAAACTAATTAAAAAAGCTTATTGCATCTTCTAGACTCTTTCATTCATCAACAATTCTTTAATCGATTTCTTTTTTAATGTTTTCGTACCTCTTTCATTGGTTTAATGGATATTTATTTTAAGCTATGCTGCGAGTTATTAATAAATTTATTTGATATTATTAGCTTATTTTCATTGTATTCTTTCGTACCACTTTCTGGAAAAAGAAATCCTATGACTAAAAATAAAAGATATCCTAAATATAATCGTGAATTTGCAGTATTAGTATATACATGTTCCCAACTTTACGGAAATTACCGACTGAGCAGCCACATTTGGCCCAAATTAGAAAGATCGTCAGTGTTCCAGTTTCTTTAGAGTTTGTTTGGTAAAAATTATGGGATCTTAAAAACATTTCTTAATTTCAAAATAATAGCATTCATGAATCAATTTAAAGTGTTTAATGACATGATTACGTTAATGAACAATCAAGTCTTGTATATTTAATTTCATGTTAAAAATTTTCTGCCTTTATTTTTTTTATTGATATATATGCATTTTGAATTTTAAATTCTAATACAAAAACTTTTAAATAATTCTTACCTCCAAGAATAAAGTCTTTTATTTATCAACTTGAAAATAAATCGAAAATGATTTACAATACGTTATACGTGATAGAAATCGGAAATAACGAACATTCATTATTATTATTAATATTAAAATCATTCAAAAAAACTTAAATTTTCTTAAAGGAAGGTCTAGATTATTTTTAAGTTATAAAATAAGAGATTACATTATCAAGAGTCTCCGGAATAAGTGAAGACTAGATAAAGAATTGTTTAATGAATTTTCACTTAAAACTAATTCTGAAATGAACAATAATGATAGATAGCTTTGAAAATACATATTCGCGAATAAATTATTATTATACTTTAGCATATTCTTTGGCATAAATTATCATCATCATCATCACTCAAGACTCGGGCAATAAGAAAAGGCATTTTTTTTATAAAATTAACATTTTAATTTAAGAAATGATTAGAGGTTGGAACCGTAGATAACTCTTAATCCGCAATTTGTGATAAATGGAAAAGATCGACATGCATTTTTAGCCAGAACTTTTTTAATAAAACGTCCCACTTTAATTGTAAACTTTTGTTTCAGTAGATTAAATGAAGCCACATTTACATTATCAGTTAAATGCAAGAGAATTGAGAGGAAAAGTGAGATTTACTACTTTAGACCGAGAATCTGAATTAGCAAGGGTTCACGCGGATCATAAGTGCCACTTCCAAATAGGAAGGTCCTGTATATAGGATTTTCCTTTTGTTTATTAAAGTTTAGCGAAATGGCGAATTTGATAAGTTTATCAGTACAAACCTTAATTTTTACCTTTTTTTGCCACCAAGTTTGACACATAGGGAAAATCTTGGCGTTAAAGTTTATCAACCAGATTACCGTTGGAAATTAATTCTTTTCTTAAAATTTCAATGTTGATCACCAAAAATTTTTATAGTGTGATACTTTCTACCATCAAAATTGGAATAATTTTGACCAACCAAACCAAATTGGGCTGCATGTGTAATTATCAACTAACAATTATTTAGATCTTTTATTTTTATAGCTTCATTATCAACATTTCTTCTATGTAAATTATGTTGACTTAATATTTGCTTAATTGCAATTATCATTCTTTATGTTAACATTCATTAATGCCAACTTGATAAGTCGGTTTGGCTTAACTCAACAAAAGTTTTTTTTTGATATTTGATAAGTCAGTCAATAATATAAAGTTGTGATAAGCGTGCTAAATTTAATCACGATAAGTCTGTTCGCGTGATACTTTATTCTACGTTTTCGAATTTTGTTTGTGCATGTTGTACGTGAAAATGAAATTATGTGAATTCGCAATTCACATATGTGAAATTCAAATTTACATGTGTGAAATTCAAATTAGCCAATCAGAATTTCACCCCACTCCATAATATTTCAATTTCACATAATTTCAATTTCACATACAACATGCACAAAATCACTTTGCTTATATTTATTTATTAATTAATAGATGATTGAATAAAAATAGCTGAAATGATTAATCTTTTTTGCGATTATAATGTTGCGATACTTTATTATTAATTAAATTAAAAAAATTTTACATACTTATTAGATTTCTATGTGACCGACTCCTAAACAGAGTTAGTATTAAAGCTTGAGCACCCCATTTCACTGAAACCATGTTTGTTATTTATTTAATTTAGGTACCGACAACTGTGGCAAGTTAATCTTTTCATGTGTATATATATATTAATATATATAAAATTATGAATTAAGATATCTTGCACTACTATATTTTAAATTTTTCGCCTTTCCATTCAACATCAACAAAATTTGAAAATAGTTTCTTCTCCCAGCCAATAAATTCTTTCTATGACCAAAAAAATACATGTCGAAATCTTAATTTGATAAACAGGATATATCAGGTTAACAATTACATGCGCTTTCCAATTTTGTGAAAAAATCCGGCAATCTGTCACAAATTACATAAAGACTTGGAATGTCAGATTGATTTTATAAGCACAAACATGATGTTAAATCATGCTTGCTTTTATTCTTGACATCCTCTAAAGATAGGAAGAAATGTCAAAGGTTTATGAAATAGCGCCATATATTCATCATATTCCAGAATTTCTTGAATATCATCAACAATTCATTTTTATGTTAAAAAAAAAATATATTTACAAGTAGAGGAAAACACTTAAAGATAATGGAAATAATGAAGTAAGTAATTCAGCAATAATCGAATCCTAGATTTTGACAAATATATTTCAACTTTACTCGATGCTGCTTCAAAACCGCAAATAATTGACATTAAATAATTCATTCTTTTGATTATTACATCATTCGCTATCGTCTTCAAGGTCTTATATCAAATATAGACATTCAAGCATTAAAGATTTTTTATGAAGAAGTGTTAAACGCAAATCTTAAAGTGTTCAGCCAGTTCCACTAAATTCGATCTCTGAGAAATGAAAATAATGTTCACTTTGCCTGTTTTTGTTACAGTCTGCCCACATATAAATCATGTAATTCGTTACTTAAAACATATGTTTTTATTTACTTAAAAGCTTATTTTAATTGTGAAATAATGATGTGAAATATAATATTTGTATAAAGATAACTAACTAATAATTTAATTTTGTTGACATATTCAGAAAAATTTTTAACATATTTTAACAATTATTAATAATATGGTTAGTATTAATATGGATATGATGAATATTGAGAATGGTAATAACACTAGCATTGAGAATATTATCGCTGATGAATTGACTACAATGGATCAACAAACTGAAACTAATAACTGCAACCTTGATATTAATTCTAGACTTTTTTTATCACATTTCAGCATTACTGATGATGCAAGTCGTGAAGAAAATAAAATAATGGTATGATTATAGGCATATAATTACATAATTATGTTTTTATATCACTACAGTCAAATCTTACGGTGAATTTTTGTCACAAAGATTTATATATATATATATTAAACTCGCATATTTTCATTAGATTAAATTAAAAATAAATTAAAACAAATTAAAAAACAAATTAAAAATAAATTAAAAAATAAAAAGTAATAATGGTAGTAAAATGAATTAGAATGAAAATGAAAATGCAACCATAATAATAATAATAATGCATAATTTCTTTGTGTATTAAATTAAATTTTCTTTTAAAATTAACTAGAATTTGCAAAAGGATCAACCTTAAAAGTCGAGTGTATCGTATAATTTGAATCTATTATCAGCATAATAATGACGAATATTATCAACTTGATTTTCTTCGCAAAACTCATTTGGGTAACTTGTAATGATTGGTAATCCTGCACCATAATAAAAATGTCTAGCATCAATATCAAATAATATAATTATTACTTTCGGTTGGTTCTAAATGTACACTATCTGACCGTCGACCCATTATAACCTCCAATGACATTTGGTCGTGGAATAAATGTTGCCATTTCATCAGTGTTGATATTATCATTCTCAATACTCATCATATATATATCAATACACATCGTATTTATATTATTAATGTTATTGAAAGTCGATTAATTGGTAGAGCTCTTGCGGATATAATGATTGTAATAATTGGTTAAGCTCTTGTGGGGATAACAATTGTAATAATTGATTGAGCTCTTCTGGAGAGAAATGTTCGGGTCCTACTTCTTGGGTTGAGCATTGAGTATTGTCTTGGACTAATGATTCACTCATTACAGGATACTCGTAAACTTCAGCATTGGTTAAAGTTGGAGAGTAAAAGGAATGAACAAATGTTGTTGGTGGTGATGATGATGGTGGTGATGGTGATGATGATGATGATGATGATGATGATGACGGCGATGAAAGAAGGGACGGTGAAGGAAAGGATGACGACGATGTAGTAAAGTTTTCATTATTAACAATTGCTTTCCATTTCCATTTCTTCTCGCATGAAATTGTTTGAATATTATTATTATTATTTTCGAAGAAAATAAATTTCCGATTTTCTTCGGCTATTTTCGCCAAAATTCTAAAATAAATTTTCGTTAAATCAGTGTCTTCTAAATTATTCCATATACCGGCAGCCATACGTGAAATTTTTTCTATAGGAAACGTTTCATCCGGAAAGGTTTTCCTCAGATATTCACCAAAGTTTTTTAGGAATATTGACCACGCATTTTGTATCCTTGGTGGTTTTTTTCTTGGTTTATTTGAAAAAGAAACCAAATGGTCAATCGTCATCTTTACTATTTCTGGTGGATTTTCGAGTATTTTTTTTTGCTCTTTTGGTAAATTCAATCTTTCAATTAGCAATTTTATATTTGGTGAGTGCTCCATAAATTTTTTATAAAAATAATAAGTCAACCCAAAAAAATAGATCAGGAGATAAATTGATAAAATGATTGTTATTAGATTTAAAATTTTAAAATTTCTAGATTTTTTTTAAAGAGGAAACAAGAAAAAAGAGTTATATTTATAGAATTATTTCACAACCATGGCCAATCAAAAACAATTAAATAAGGATATATGCAAACTGACTATTTTGGTTTATGAAATAAAGAACTTTTACAAAATGATTTGCTGAATTTGGTATTTTAAAAAAAGTTTATTGGATAATCTCAAGTGAAATTTTTACTACGGATAACTCTAGATGTTTTTCCGCATGCACTTAAATTATGTCAGTAATTCATAAATTATGTTAGTTGATTAATTAATCAATTTGTTTTGTTTGTTTGTTTGCACTCTTTTAAAATTACTATTTTTTGAAAAGTATTTTTAAATATGGAATAATCAATACCTAACATGTAAATTTTTTTGCGCGTTTACTGCTATCTTACTTTCCTTTTTTGTTAAAAAATCGTTAATTCATAGCATCCTGCCAATCAATTTTCACGAAAGTCACACGAGAACATATTTACTGCACTGACCATTCTTATTATCACAATAGAATAAATTCTATTACTATGTTCGTTTTTCTCCTTTATTCTCAAGTCGTTTTCATCACATAATGACGATGATGATGCATAATCATACAGTTGCACACAAATAATTGATCAAAATGGGTTTTATTTTTGTGTAATACCGCTAGTATAATTTGACACTTGTTCTATTTTTATATCCCGCTAGGATTCTTCTTTTTAGAAAGAGTTTAACGAATATTACTAATAAATAATAACTCAATTAATTTTCCCCTCGGAATGTCTACCTAATTTTTACCTTTTTCACACACACACACACACACCTATTTATTCGAATTCTCGGGTAATATTTTCTAAAATTTAATATTAAATTTTGCTTTATTGATAAAATAGGAGTCGCGCAACATAAAATATCAATATATTTTATTCATTTTGTGATATATGAATATTTTTTCCATATTAAACCTACGTATATATTGTTTAAATTAAAATCTTTATTGACCTAGAAATAGAAGATTGTGTTTATAAAAAAAAATTTAAAAATAAATGATCATCGAAATTAAATTAGAAATAATCCCGCAAACGTATTACGAAAGCATCGGTCAAAATATCCTACTTTGTGAAATAATAAAATTACTCCAAATATTGCGTTCATGCATTCATTACGATGAATAAATTTATGTTTACTTGTTGCTCTGATTGTGTAATCAAAGATTGTTATAATAAACTCCTCGATTTTATGTGTAAATTTCCTTTTTTTGCGTGTAACAAATTAGTTAGTATTAGAAAAACATGAATCAATGAACAATAGTTCATTGTAACTATTACTGTAATTAATAATATTTGTCTTCAAATTTTTTTGATTAATTTATTATATTCTAGATTTCGATTGGTGTTTCTTTCATTAGTTAAAACATTTATTTTTTATATCATTCAGCGGAAACCTGTTTATTTTTCTTTGTAAGCACCTAAAGTAAACTCGTTACGAGGCATTTTTGTATTACAGATAAAAATAGCTGATTATTACTATGGTATATGTTTTGTAATATAAATATTTATGCAAATTTGATATACTGATATTCATTCTATTATATTGTGGAACCGTTATGTAATACGTTCCACGTGTTCATCAAAGTTTGATTTAAAGAAAATCTTTTGACACAATCGAGATAAAGCCGTGTAACAAAACGAATTTCCGAAATTACAAATATCAAATATCATTTTTAGAAGACGATTTTACTGGATAATAAGGAGCTGGATGTTTCATGTCCAATAGCTTTAAAATGGGCCAGAATGACAAATATATTTTTTTGCTGCGGATCATAGTTCAATTATAATAAAATGATATTATTTTGCAAACATTAAAAAGTCTTCAACTTTATCTAAATATTATGTTAAATTGTAAGGTTTCTTTTATCCAATAAATTGTAAAATTCTAGATAATGGCGCATGTTGTATATATTGATATCTATATAACATGTGATAAATGGTAATGAGTTTTTGAAAAGAAGATTTCTTAAAGATATTTGTTCTAAAATAAGTCAACCAAAACTTTATCAAAATTAATTGTCTAAAATATCACAGACGGATAGAATATAAGGTAAAATCTTTATTCTAAATTGATCACAAGAAGTTGCTTCTAAGATATCTCATAAACTGCAATCACAGAAAGTTGTTTCTACGGCAAACAAGTAAGTCTTCCAAATTAAACTGTCGTTCATCTAAATGAATATTTATAATTTAATACTATTGTAAATCAAATTCCATCCAAACTCTATTTCAAATCAAAGAAATCATGTATCTGTATATGCGTATTCATCATACTAATTTATAATAATTTTTTATGTAATTTGTTGCCTACAAGAAAACTCTAGTAAGTGACATATTTACAAAATTTCCTGCACATAAAATGCGCATTTCGTAGTTAGGTTCTCAGCAGACTTTTCCCTTAATTGCAACAATTCCAGTCACAATGTCATCAATCTTCCTATTTTTCCTTTTCTACTTTTTCTTTGATTAAATAAATCATGCCATGTTGGATATTAAGAAATTGTATACGATCAGGAATTAGAAAAATAAATTTTGGGGTACCGTAGGGTATTATTTTATAGCTTGTTTCCTTGAAAATTATTACTTGGGTGATTCATTTTATTATTTATTGATTTATGAATAAAGCAAAAAAGTAAATGTCAAATAATAACCACAAGAAGTCATAGAATCCCATTCTAAAAAAATAAACCGAATATTCAACATACATATTGAGCCCAAGTGTCAATATAATAGTCCTTTCAACTTTTTATAAGGTACCATATATCTTTCGTTACTGTGACTTTTTCCAAAAAATCCGAAATATAAAAAAGATTTCACAGGCCCTTTGAACCCAAATACAATTTCAATAAGATTCAGATCAAACTTTCTTGTCAGAAGAATAAAAAGATGATGACGATGATGAATTATTATTGTTATTAATGTTGTTGTAGATTTTGTGTTGTTTATTTCTAAAGCACATGATGAAGATGGTGATATTAATTGATTTTGATGATGATAAAATATTAAGCATCAAAGAAACAATCCAAATACATATCTGTTAAAACCAAAAAACCACTTTAATTTGAAAACCTCCAAAAATATTAATCATTTATAAATATATATTTCTGTTTTTTTTTAGGATAAATACAATAGAAACTTTTTTTATGGTGGTTTTTTTGTCACTTTAGTTAAAGCCTTTTTTCTATTGCCATTGCGGAGAAAACATGCTTATTATTTGAAAGAAGATGTTGAGATAGTGTCAGTAAGAGTAGCAATGCTTGCATGATCCTTGGAACTCCATTAGCAAATAACAAATAATAAATTATGCAATTCTAAATACATTTCACTTTCGACTAATGAAAGAGATCTGGCATGAACTATGGTTGCTTGCCGAAACTCCTCCAGAAATCAATCAGCAAATTGTTTGTTAGAGTTTCGGAAGTCTTGCATTTGGCCGTTTAGGCATTCATTAAGAGGTTTTAACAAGCAACCTTAACATGAACGTTTACAACATGAATCTGCTATTATATATGGATGTACCAACTTGATTCTTTGTTAAATCTTTTTTTTTTAGAAATCACATTAATAGGGAATATATAAATTATGGCGGAACAAAATGTTTTGGAACTGACAAATCATATACACGTAATAAATAGCAAGTGAAGGAAAAATAAATCCAAAAAAATCACTTAAACAAATATACTCGAACAAATATAATGAACAGATCAAGAAAGAGGCTTAAAAATATATAAATCGGTATGTTCTGTTATAAATTCTGAATTATTCGTTTAGTTTTATTTGAATTGTCCGTTTTATTCGTTTTTATTCGTTTTTATTCGTTTTGATGCAACAATTCTATATTAATATTAGTATTATTGTTGAGGGATTTTAGCTATTTGTAAAATTATAAATAAGGCTTATTTCCTTTTAACAAGATAATATAAAATATATATATATTACTATGACTTGAGAAAATGTCAATTATTCCTATTTATTATCTTACACATAAAACATTAATTGAAATTTAGATAAACTTTAAAACGTAAAGGCTCAATAACCAAACAGGATATGGGAATAATCTTTTCGCAATTTTATTTCCAAACACTCAATTAATAGCCTATTAAAGAGTTTTTTTATTTATATTAGTAAAAAAAATTTTTATAAAGGTTCAAAGTTGTCAATTTTACTGGTTTTTACTATAAACAATGGAAATTTGAAATGTAAAGGCTCAATAATCAAGCAAGCTGTGTAAATAATCTTTCCGCAATTATATTTCTAAACATTTGATCCATAGTCTATCAGAGAGTTTTTTTTATTTATATTAGTAAAAAAAAATTTTATAAAGGTTCAAAGTTACCAGTTTATTGATTTTTACTATAATAATGAAAATTTAGATAAACTTTAAAACGTAAAGCCTCAATAACCAAAGAAGCTATGTGAATAGTCTTTCTGTAATTTTATTTAAAAACACTCAACTTAATAGTCTGTCAGAGAGTTTTTTTTATTTATATTAGTAGAAATTTTTTTTATAAAGGTTCAAAGTTGTCACAAAATAATATTGAAAAATCCGCATATACATATATGAAAATTTATTATTGATGTTAATGATAAAAAATTAGTCAACATTTCAAATTTCCACTATGCTCACTACATCTTGAAACTAGTATCATTAAAAAATAGGAGCTAATCAAAAGACAGTATACTGAAAGACAGTATAATTAATAACAAACAGCATATGGATCTTTGAGAGTACATTCTAACTAGTGTTGGTCGTCAAAAATATTTGAAATGGTGAAAGTCAAAATTAAATCAAAAGTCAATAGTCAAAAATCAAAACTAGTTTTGACTTTCGCCCGGTTGCGAAACTCCCAAGTTTTGGAAACGAACACTAATTCTAGCAAATAATAATAAGTTACTAAATTATAAATATAATGCACAGTAGCTATATATACGAATTTTTTGATTGTTACACACCAAAAGGTGATGATAATAATACGCGAGACGTAATAATGACCATAATACATCATACAAAGTAAATATATTAACAACATGTTCATTATTGATTCATAATTCCAATATTATTGTTGGTAGAAATTTTGATAATCATACAGTAAATGAAGGCCTTCTTAAATGGAAAAAATATTTTTAACAAGTTATAGAATGACTTAATTTTCTGTTTTCAATTCACACACATAAACACTGCCCCAACCCTATAAAAAATAGTCTATTATTTGAATTTTAATTCCGGAAATACTCTTGAAAATTTCCACGAATTTGCAACAGTGGCAAAGTCCATATTTCCCCCGTAATCTTTCCATGATTTTTTCATGAATATATATAATACATTATAGAGAAACATGGAATTTTAAATCACAATCAGTTTTTTTTTACAGGGAAAATAATGAATCGAGAGTTTTTATATTAGCTTAAAAACAAATGACGACGTTGTTTAAATTTACGAACTATTGAAGACAAAATGAAACATTTAAAAATTAAATTGATAATGAACGGGAAAGAGTACAAACACGCGATGGACCTCTTGATTAAATTTGTTATTTAATTAATAAAACTAAAAATTAAAATTTTGCAAATCGTGACTGTAACTATAAGGTAAAGAATTTTTTTAAAAAATCAAGTTATGTAACATCAATAAATTTCATTGGTATTAATATTGACAACAAAATTTTTTGAAGGAGCAATTTATAGAAGCAAGAGAGGTTGGTCGATTGTTCTCTCTTCTTTATCACATAGTTTCAAATTTGAAGCCATAAAAAATGGAAATTATTCTATGGCTCTATGTAATCTCTTACCGGATTCTCTAGAACATAGTTTATAAATAAAAATTGATTTTTTATCTATATAGAAGAAGAAAAGAAAACAGATGTATAGACGGAGATGTAGGCATCTGTTTTTTTACGCTCCTTTGATCAATATTTTTTTTTATATGAATGAATTTCCCAAAATAAATATAGTATATCTATCCATAATAACGATTAAAATTTTTTTTCAAATATTTATTTTTTGTGAGCTTTATAAACAGGTTAGGTTGCAATCCAAATCCGCAATTTATTCAACAAAACACAAATGGCCAACTTCGTTGTACACACACACATTCCAACAAAATGATTTCAAAAAAAAAGTTTAAGAATAAATTTTATTAATTCACCGTGATATAAATATTTTCGAATTTAAAACATTATAAATAGCCGTTGATTTTTTCTTGATCTTGAAAAAATTTCTTAAATTCCTTAAACCAAAAATAATTAAATATTGGTTTATACAAAAAAAAAAGGCTCTTTCAAGCAAAAAGCATCTGATAGCACAAACCAAGAAGAATTATCTCCAGAAGAATCAATAGAGAATCAGCATCAACCAAATATTGATGACGACAATAATAATATGCATACTGAGGCACAAGAAAATGTTATGTGTCAACAGCCAGATAACGAACCACCCGAAATGTTCAATAAGGTCAACGCTGGATTTATTTTTCAAGGCGCAACAAGTTTGATTGTTTCCAGTCTATCTCAAGATAATATTGATGATGATCTTATTTACTGTTATTATTGTGGTGATAAACAATTTAATTTCAGTTTTTAATATTTTTTTCATTATTTAACGAGTATTTATATATGGGTCAAGTATTCAGTACCTAATTAAAATAATAAATAAATAAAAAAAAGCAATAATATATTCTAATTTTCTATTCTAATTCTTTTTTACTTGACAAGTACATTAAATTTAATAGTCTCTTTTTAAAAAAATAGAATACAATTTATAGAAATTTTGATTACTAGGTGACTTTATTAAATTTTTTGCGTTTAGTTTTACTACTATTTTATCTATGTTAGTGTTTTTTTGAAAATTTCAAGTATCTATTTGTCAAGTAAAACAAAATTTTACTAGCAATAAATCTTATTCCAGCCCAATCCCTTTTCTAATTATCATATTATAAAAAAAAAATTCGAATTCACCAATATTTCTAATCTGATTATTTATTATTCATCACACCTGCAATAATCATTATGGTAAAAAAACTAAGAATAAAGATCTCGGCAAAAGTAAAAAAAATCCTGATTATTTTGAAAAATAATAAATATATCACTGCAATTTTCCTGCAAAAACATTTCACAAATAAATGTTGAATATCTCTAGACAAACAAAAACTAAAGTTTTAATCAATTTTCTGAACTTAATAAAAGGTGTTATGCATATTAAAATGCGCATTATTTTATATTGGTTTCAATAGTACAAAAACCAATAATTTAAAATTATCACATAGCGTTAAGTTAAAAAAAATATACTTAAAAAAGGAACTTAATTAGTGATACTGTTAATATTAAGGAACCCATAAACCAATTCTAAAACAATGTGTAAAGAGTTAAAAGAAGGAAGCCATGACAGTTTACGGGTCTATTTGTCAATATTAACATTAAAATATCGGTATAATAAACGACGTTACGACAAAATTAAATGGAGCATTAATATGGATTACCACTCAATATTATTTTTTATCTATGTTGTACGTGAAAATGAAATTATGTGAATTCGCAATTCACATGTGGAATTCAAATTTACATATGTGAAATTCAAAT